AACACACATGGGTAAACACACATAAGATGTGAGGTTCGAGTCCACCTTGACCCTGTTTTTCTTTGTTTTTTTATTGCTATTGCCTTTCTACATAATTTGTGTTTTAAATGGTAGAAAATTTATATATTTGCAGAGTGCCAGCAAAATCAAACTTCTATGACATGTTTGAAAATAATATGCGCCTGTATATACAACACGGATGCCCACACATTCCACTGTATCGTCAGTCTACTGACCACAAAAGTCATTATACAGATGGACAGACAAAGTAAATTCGACATGACTCCCATTACTCCTAAATGGTTGGCACATAAAACGAATTTCATTTTTTCCAGTGTTGTTACCTTGAAATATCCAATCTTCATATCTTAGTTTTATGTACTAATGTATGCTCAAAAGAAAATGAAAGCAACAATTTCTTTAAAGTTTCATGGCTCTAGGTCAAATTAATTACGCAAGAAACAAGTTTAATATTGCATATTTTGACTAGGTTAAGTGAATTAATCCACACAAAAAACGACAAGTACTCAACTTCATATGCTGATCAACATTTCTGTAAAATTTGTTGACACTAGCTCATGTGCTTTTAGGGTCACGTGCCTGAGAATTTGGAGCACAAATATTAAAAAAATAACCCACTTATTTCAACTCACTTATCCCAACTCCATAGATACTCATTTCAACTCAAACTCACTTATTCCATATCTTTTAAAACTCACGAGAACGCGCGCATGCACCAACAATACATACATATATATAGTAACATATAATATAGCACAATGAGTGAAAAACCTACGAAATTTGTCATATTGCGTTTACATTCATACGCTAAGTCATGTCTTACCAATAATATAACAGTTGATTAATTCATGCGTTGATGCCATAAATACAGGAAAAAAAGGCACTACCTTAAATTCATTGTATTATCATCTGTAGATTGTATGTTGCAGATAGTCGATCCTTCTAAATTCCATGGCAAATCATTGACAAAACACTTTACTAAATATTTCTAAAAGAAAACATTTGAGCCGCGTCACGACAAAACCAACATAGTGCGTTTGTGACCAGCATGGATCCGCGCAGTCTGATCAGGATCCATGCTGTTCTCTATCAGTTTCTCTACTTGTTAAAGGGTTTGTAAGCGAACAGCATGGATCCTGATCAGACTGCGCAGATGCGCAGGCTGGTCTGGTTTCATGCTGGTCGCAAACGCACTATGTTGGTTTTGTCGTGATGCGGCTCATTATGTTAAGAACAAAATAGCAAATGTTATCAAAAGATACCAGAATAGAATATTTAAAAGAAAAACGTCTACGTTGAATAAAACCATTTTTTACATATTGTTACAAATGATCAACTAAATCATAGTTATTCCCAAAAAATTGCAGACATCTCGGGACAAGATATTTTTGAAAGTTTCTTTTGTAAATATAGCTTTTTAATAAATGTTTTTAAAAGGCGTATACTTTGTTAAAAGTATCTTTAAAAGACCTCAATTTAAGTGTAAATATTTTATCAGTATATTAAAACACACCAAATGTCAATTATGATGTGATTAAATGTATATCCGTCTTAAATATCAAATTGTCCGTTGCAACTAAAGAACATTTAAGATATGGCTAAAGGATAAAGATACTTTAATTAGCAAAAATATATGGAAAAACAAAGCACTAGCACATATTCAACCAAATATTTGAAAATATCTTATGCTCATTTTATAGCAGAGGACCATTATCAATATAATCAATAGGATTTTATTTCGGACCTCGTTATACAGTACAGGTGATCACACAAATGACAAAAACTTTGTACGTTTGGTAAGGAATTTCTTTTGTTCTTGCATACTTACCAAATTGTGATTGATGTAAATCTTAACTACTTCAAATGAACGCTGACAGTCAAGAAAATGCCATTCCAAATCAACGTCTGAAATACAACAATACATCGTATATTATACTAGACTTTGCATTCAGTTATTGTTTATCATTTGGCAAAGAATCCCCACAAACTTTACATAGAATGGATACCGTATTATTTCCAAATACATAAAAACATTAGGATAATAATAAAAATTGTATAACAATTTTATTCTAAATTCTTTTTTAATATGTAAGATATCTTTTACAAATGTGCGTAGTTCAAGATACAATGTTAAATCCTACCTTTATGAAATATTGTGAGAAAATATTGATTTAGAATCAAATCTGAAATTTACAAACATACGATTTTTAAATATGGCATATATAAAATAATTATATAATTATGCAAATGCATATACTTATATATACGCATTTTAAACACAAAATCGTGCAATTTTCGTCAGTAAGAATAATTCATTTAAAGCGGATTTTCATTACTTTTCACACAATAAACATCGTCGAAACCTTCTTATTCTAACTGCAGTAAATATTAAGTTTGGTTAATGTTTTGTCATTCATCGTTATAATGACTATAATTATAAGACAGTATGAAATGAAATTAATGAAAGAATAAAACTTACTGTTATTGCATCATCTTTGATGATCTTAAAGTAATCTGACTATAGCTATTACCTAAGAACTTAATGATGGTGCTTTATACTTTGATTGTAGAGGTCATTTTGTAATGTATGTCCAAGATGTTTTATGAATGATATTATATTATGCTGTAATTGAGAGTTACCTATTTCTGTTCCATGATCAATGTTTTCGACTGAAAATAATTAGAAACAAAATGTTTGAACATTCATCATGAACTATGCCTTCATCGAATGAAGAGATTACTATTAAATTATCTGAACATTCAAGAAACATGACGAAAACTAAAAAATATAAAGTACAAATACGTGATTTTGAGAAAGCTTCGTCAAAACTGCTTTTATTAATTTTTGTAAGACAATGTATATTGTTCTCATGATGTAGATGAGCTGTAATTACTTTTACGTTCGTTAAGCCAAATCAATAGCTGGAAGTGCAACCAAGCACAGTGTTTATACAAAACATTCTTCGTTGAATTAAATATACCTTTACTTATTAGTTAAACATATAATAAGACTGATTTAAAGGCATCTGTTATCATTAATAACAAAGGTGTCAAATTTTCGTTTCCCTTTAAACTCAAATATGAACGCTTTTCACAAATAATGCACAACATATAACAAAATGAATGCCTAAAGAGATATTGTTCTTTCGTTTGTTAGCTTGTCTCAGTTTTAAGGTTATAATTCTAATATTGGTTACGGTTTGATTACCAAGGACATGACTTCTAAGAGATAATGCTATTTCTGATGACATGTATTAAGAATAAGATAAGTTTACATAAAAGTACAGTAGAAACCCTTTACTCTATCAATACTCATTCTAATTCACTTATCCAATCTCCATAGATACTCATTTCAACTCACTTATCCCATCTCCATAGAAATTGGTTTAACTCACTTAACTTATCTTCAAAGATACTCATTTCAACTCACTTATCCCATCCCTATGGATAATAATTTCAACTCACTTATCCCATTCTAGAAACTCATTTTAGCTAACTTATCCAATCTCCATAGAAACTCATTTCGACTCACTTATCCCATCTCCATATTATTTTCAACTCACTTATTCCATCTCCATAGAAACTCATTTCAACTCACTTATCCCATCTCCATAGAAACTCATTTCAGCTCACTTAACCTATCTTCATAGATACTCATTTCAACTCACTAATCCCATCCCTATGGATACTCATTTCAACTTACTTATCTCATATTCATAGAAACTCATTTTAACTCACTTACCCCATTTCCATGAACACTTATTTCAACTCACTGATCCCAACTCCATGGATACTCATTTCAACTCGAACTCACTTTTTCAATATACATAGAAACTCATTTCAACTCACTTACCCTTCTCCATAGAAACTCATTTCAACTCAACTATCCCATCTTCATAGAAACTCATTTCACCTCACTTATCCCAGGTTCATAGATACTTATTTCAACTCACTTATCCCATCCCTATGGATACTTAATTCAACTCACTTATCCCATATCCATAGAAACTCACTTCAACCCACTTATCATATCCATACTTATTTATACTCAGTTAAGTGAACATGGTATCTGCCAATAAACTACAGCCACAAGGAATTACATTTTATCATTTATGAAAGCTTTAAACAAAGTATAATTCTTTTTCTTTTTTGAAAAAAAATAATTTATGTTAGAATATTTTCAGTCAAAAGGATTTAAATCACTTGATAATTACAGGTAATATTGCCTTTAGAGTTTGAGTAGATGGACCAGTATTTTTCCGCAAACTTAGATTAATTTTGCTTTGCATACTCCAATTGCATAATAATTTTCAGCATCAGACTACACACGAGTATGTATACTGATTATGTTGACAAAAATGTATAGACTGACACCCTGTGGATTTATACACAGTAGCTGAGGGGTCAACAGTGTGGCATACCTTTTATTCAGTGTTGCACAGCTGTCAAAACAAGCCAGTTAAGGATGATTGGTGGCATTGTTTTATCATATTGTACATAATAATCAGTGTAATAACATGAAACGATCTTAAGCTGTTTTGTCTTAGATTTTTTTATCATTTCTTACAAAAAGTAATATTATTGCACTTCAGTTTTAACTCTTGACTGATCAAAAGTTTCTTGTCAGTTTAAATTCAATTTGGCTACATGTTTACCATATATGAAATTAACAAAACTTACATTATTTTATTTTATTTGTGATAAATATTTATATAAAATTAAAACAGATAAAGAAGAATTTACTTTAAAAGCATCTGATAAGCAGCTAAGTTGATGTAAATTTTTAAACTGTTGAGTTTACAGTTTTGTATCTCTATAAATATTCATCACACTATCATCTTAATTACGCCATGAGAAAGAAAATTCAATTAAAAAAACTTTAAATTGGTCATTTATTGTTAAAAGCAAGCTTATTTTAGAGTGATTTTTATAACACTGGTAGAGTTTTTTTAAATTTCCCCTGTATGAAGATTATCTGTATTAATAGGAGGGTATTGGTTATCAGTGATCAATTGTAAAAATGCATTTGGAGTGGGGTTAAAGATACATGTTAACTATGCTCATCCTTGGGTAAAATTATCACAGAAATTTATTGAAATCTATGAAATTCTTATTGAATATGTCTAATTTGAAAAAGAGAACAAATAAAGTATCAATGGTAATCTACTTTCCCTATTACAGGTCAAGCAATGTTGGTCTTTTCTTAAAAGATAACTGGCAGCATTTTTCATGACGCTATATATTCATATTGTGACAACCTATAGTGTGTAGGGTTCCAAACATAACATACATCTGCATTGTGTGAAGTCAAAACATGTAAAGAGACTGTGTAGCAATTATCAATATTTTTCAGATATCAAATTTGAGCATAGTATATCTTTAATATAAGATTTAGAGTATAATTATATGTTGATACGTGATTTTCAAAGCAATCCAGCAACTTAGAACGTTATCAGAGTGAATGGAAGAACCTTCTAATTTGTATGTAACATTTGGACAATATAGTTTAAATACCTACAGTTCGTATGACTAAAAGTCTGAAGATTATTGTTCGGGATTGAATTAATGTATGTTTTAAAAACCGAAGATATGTTGTTGTTGTTTTTTTTGTTTTGTTTTTCACAAGTAACAAGGCATGCTAATATAAACATACCTTGTGAGTAATAAAAACAGTGCGTTGCTCCTTCGGATACAGATGAATCGTTGAATTTGAGGCAATTTGTATCTGGATCCTGTTTTTATCAAGGGAAATAATCTATTCATAGCAGGTATGTTTTTTTTAAAACGGTAACACTTTACATGAATAAGTCATATTATAAAACTATTAAAGTCAACAACGCATGTATTTTATAGAAAATGATGTATCATGTAAACATAGAAAGTACTTGTACACCAGTCTATCTATTGTTAAACTTCAAGAAATAAAAGTAAATCTATATGTTCTGAAATCATTTTTTAAAATACGGCATTTTCTTATATCTTTTTTTTTTACAAATAAGGTTATTTTTTATTACATATTAAGGATAAAAAAGAAAATCGAAACTTGCCTTTTCAAGAATGAAATCAGTTTCAAACATACTGAATGTGACGTTTGTTAGAGTGTTTCCTATGTCTCTACGGTTTACTCTTTTACACATTGAAATGTTGATGAACCCTTTGGATTGTCCTTAAATAGAATTTAAAACTATCTTACTTCGGACATTTTACCAACACAACTGACTTAATTTAATTGCAACAAAGCAATAAATATTTGCAAATTTGATTTAATCATATCTAGCAAGGATCAACTGGAAATGCAACGTCAAGAAACCTAATTGCCTTCAAATTTCAAAGTTTCATGTTGTTGAATATTATGCTACACGAATCAATGCCATCAGGATAAATAAAAGTATAAAATTATATATGTTAACAACACACACATATACCTTCTCTTGACGCTTCAATATTAGGAACAATACCATACGACACAAAGTCAGTGATGGGAAGTGTTCGGCTTGACTCTTCGAATTCTAGAAATATTAAAATTTTATCTCAATTTTCGAATATCAAAAACAATATAAACGCATTGGTAAAATTGGGCTTGTTTTAACAAATATTATATTAAGGGTAGATCATGAGATAATGATAAAAGCAAATACTTTCGAAAATGACAGAGAGACATTTTTTTTGATCGAGTCTATTAATGAAAGATCAAATAACATGAAATTCTATCAAACGGCGTCACAAAAGTTCATTCAAGTAGCAAACAATTTCATTCAAGTAGCAAACAATTTACAAAGAGATACCTAAAGGACACGATTGTCCAATCTTATAAACGCTGTAGTTTCCTGGAATCCATTGTCCTTGATCAAGTTTAGTTTCGTTTCGGAATTTTACGCAAAAATACAGCTTCACATCCTCTGTCTTGAATGGTGGTTTGAAAAAGTCATCGTCTACGAATAAAGAATTCCGTTCCGATTCCCTATTGTAATCTGTAGAATAACTGTCAGAACTGCTGTTTATTGCAATCATGTTGACCTTCAATAAACTTTTAAACCATCCGCGAGACTGCGACTCGGGACAGCCATACTTGGACATTGGTATTGCATATGGCCCTGGTGGCCATACACTCTTTTTTTCTCGTCGTTCTTTGAACAAAAAAAAGTAATGGCAAATTATGATTAACCGATAACTGCCCATACAGGGCAAAAGCTTTAGATTTTAAATAAAAAATCATTATAAGCTCTTAAATTTTACTAGTTGAATATTCAAATCTAAAATATACACGTCTCTTTGAAATACAAAATGGGTTAATTTTTTCTCTTCACAATCCGCTTACAAATGAAATATGAGAAATCTTCATAGTGTGAGGGATTTTATTTTTAATAATTCGATATTTATAAGAATGATAAATTAAATCAGAGAAATATAAACTACCTTTAGTGATATTAAGGTTTTCACACGTTATGCGGTCCGGATAATGATACGTGCATCTTGAATATGGAAAGTCGGTTGGTTTGTACATAAACTTATGTTGACAAGATACTAAAAGAACAAGAATAGAATTGATATTTACTTTGTATACTGATAATTATAAAACGTTTCCGTATTTACTGAATTACATGTACATGCATTTTGTATTACTATGTGTGTCTAATAATAAATACAGAGAAACATATTTATTTTCGGAAATCCTTGTAAAATGTACACGAAAAATTAGGACAAGCAAGCACACGCAAAAAAAAAGAGCGAAAAACCTTTGTTTTTTGCTGATGAAGATGTCTAAACTGTAGCATCTTCGGCTTAATGAGTATTTTCTTTGGCATAACCCAGATTTTTGTAATGAACCAGAATTCCACAGGCATAAAAAATGCTGCTGATAGGAAAAGCCAACAAATAGCAGTAGCTTTGGTATATCTGGGATGGACCTTAACTTTCCCAAGAAAAGAATGTCCAAAACCACAAAATTGAAAATGTTGCAGGCTCTGTTTGATTGAACTTTTCATGGATACTGGTAAGTGTAAATTACCGTCCACGTCCCCTAGCACAGGCTTCATTTAAACATGAAAATAGTGAAATTTTGGATTCCATAGATGTGTCCATACGGTGTTATCATGGAACCTTCAACGTGATACTTGTTAAATCAAATAACATTTAAAGTAATCAAAAATAATTTTGAAACAGAGAGGATACCCATTTATATCATTTGTCCGAAACATGTTTTATTTAAGTAATTATTATCAATTTTAAGATCTATAATGAAACATGCGAAAGAGCTATGCTATTGTCACATAAACATTTAGTAATAATTGTATATGCCTCAGCTTTCGCCACAGACATGTCACTATGTCACTAGACATGTCCATAAAAATCTAACTTTGATGCACAGAGTGGCGATTATTTATTTCCATGCAATTGTCACGGAGTATATACACCGATTGAAAACAAGAATTATGTTGGTTTTTAAAAGATAAGAATTCAAAAAAACATATATCAAATAATATTATTCCATAAGTTTAAAAGCACAAATCAGTATGCCTAAAAAATATAATCAAAAATCAAAATGCTTTGTTTACAAATAAATTTCTCTTTATTACCTCCCTTTGCATTAACAACATCATATTTACATTTTTAACATCACTACTCAAACAAACATCCATTACAAAACTGATTATATTAATGTTAAATCTTGAAAGCTATGCTCTGTATGTTGTAAGTTGGAGGAAAAGAATTTTAAAACATGTTTACTATATAAATATGTGCACATATAAACTGTGCCAGACCTGCAAGACATTTTTTAATATCAATAATAGGTTTTTTGGAATAAATGCCGGGTTCTTCTTTGTAATGATACGTGCAACATAAGTTAGATATGATGTTTGTAACTGTACATAAATATACATATATATGAAAATAAGTTTATCTATCTATGTGATCCCTGGGGCAGGTGAATATTAAGATATTTTAATAATGAACTTTAAGTTATGTTTTAAGAATTAAACGTGGAAAAAATCTTCTGCTAATGTTTTAAAAATTTGTAATGAGTTACAATTTAAAAAGAGGCAGATCCAGACTTAGGTTTAAGTGATTGTGTTTTATTCTTAAAGTAGATTTTTCCTGGCTTTCCTTAAATATATATTTCAAAAAAATATTTGACAGTAGAATACATCATTCATATACACAAAAAAGGTGATACATGTGAACTTGGAAATGAGAGACCAATTACTTTGCAACTATAGACAATATATTAAATAAAGATTTCAATAACCGATTCAATTTTTGTGCCGAAGACAGTAATCATTAAATTGAAGCACGGGCAGGATTCGGGAAAAATATGGGAACGTTTAATAATGGCCCAGTTGTTCAAATTTTTTATTAACTTTAACGACAAATTAACATAATTATTGTTAAATTTTAATATTTTCGTTAGCTAACAAAATGCCAAAAATTGAGTTATTCAGAGCTATGTTAAATTTTATGTTAGTTAACAAGGTGTTAAATTGCTTCACTTTATATTTACTTATTAACAAAAAAATATTCCCACAGTGCAATTGTTTTTCTATATAAAAAGTCCCGACGCGTGCATTTTTTTACAACAATGCGCTTGCCGTTCTTATTATCTCCCCCTGAATTTTTAAACCGACACATTGAGGGCGCCATTTTGTTTGAAGAATCTAATAAATAAGAAAAACAACAATTTTTTTTGTCGAATTTTGTTGTGAAAACTATCTTAAATGAAAGAAAATGGTCTAACTAAGAAAATGAATCCGAACATCAATATTTTTAATTCAGTCGTTAACGTTTTACAGACGTTTAAAGTGTTGATTACGTGACGTCACAATGTAGCGGCATACAGCATGTGCAGAAACAATCACACCAAAACGCTATTTCAATGCACGTTTTTCGTTCAAATGCTTTGTAATTAATCACTCATGCATATCGGCCTTCGTGATTATATTACTACGCATTTAAACTCAAACCGTGCATTATTCTATAACAATGCACTCAGATTTGATATCTATTTCCTAAATAACTTGACTGACTTTGAGATTGATTTCATAGTGTGCAGTTTATACATGGGTAAGCATATTATAAAGTTATCATACCTTCATATTCTTTGTGTAATGCCAGTATATAGTCTTTATTCTACATGGATTAATTAATCAATAACAAAAACTTTGTGTAATTTTTATATATTTTACCAAGACATTTGATGATATAATATGGTATTGATAACTTAAGTTATTCTCGAGAGGAAAATATTAGATGTTATTTGTAAAATCCGGAGTTACATACAAGTATTTAAATACAGTTAACATAGATTTTTCATGCATGTTGGGTGTACGTCGAGGAGAATGTATTTCGCTTTTTTTAATTCTCAATATACTTAAAATACATTGAGGTAGCATTTCATATTAAAATGATTATATTTTGTTCAATATGCTGATGATATTGTGATTTAACTGAAACCGAAATGATGAAAGCTTGTATTTGTCTGAAAAAAGTATAATATTATTACCCCTCACATTTTTTCGTAATGTTAATTTCCCATAGGCCTCAGGGAGTTATTTTTACTGTTAATGCAAGTGTACCACGTGACTAAGGAATGTTACAAGGGTAACAGTAATTTTTAACAGTATAAAATCGGGTCACGTTTTCTATTTTCTAAATAAAATAAATTAAAATGGCCACAATTTTTTCTCGATTCATTGTTTTTCTTCGAATTCTACCGCAATAGCGCACCACTAGAGTTACTATGAACACCCATACAATTTAGTTGCTTGCACCCTGGAGTGCTTTTCGCAAATTAAATATGTTTTTGTTGAATAGTTCAAAAATAAACATCTGTTTTCACAGGAAATAGTTGCAATGCGAATAATTATGTGTCAAACTGGAACATTCAGACGAGTAAAGGATTATTTAACAATTTCAATCAGTGAAACATTACAGATATGATGGACAGACATAGGATATCATCGTTATTTTGAAAACACATAGGTCAAAAACCATGCGAAGAATATTCTGGATACAGAAGGATCAGATTTCACTGATCATAACCGTATAAATGGGTTTGTGTTTTGTTTTTTTAAATGAAACACAACTTATTGTATGTTTATGACTGGTAGTTATCATCACTCGCTTAAAGAATAAAAAAACGAATCTCAAGTAGGCCTACTGTACAGTACACTTAAAATTTAAAAGGTAAGGACAGTATAGTTATTGTTACTCTTGGTTTATTTTTGTTACAGTTAGATTAAGTTGACAAATTCACATGATCATAGTATTTGTTCGGGGTAAGAAAATAAATAACACATGGGTTTTGTGAGTAACAGTAAAAATATCATCCCTCGTAAAAAGACCGTTACCCTCGGCCACGCTTCGTGTAACAGTATTTTACTCGGGATGATATTTTTACTGTTACCCACAAACCCATGTGTTATTTATATACTAGCATATAAGGGTTACACTGTAGACATTGTTAAAATATTTTCGTATTTATGTATTACATTTACTACATGTGTTTTTTTGTACGCAACACACGAATCATTAGCGAACCAGGCATTGCAGGCAATACACAAACTCGAGTCTTATTTAGTTAGATTCACTTTTCACTTTGAATTACTTGGCTGAGTTATTTGCTAAAGTATACTCCTCCTATAGTATCAAATATATGCGCTTTAAACTTGAAATACTTTTCATTTTTGAATTTGAAATCAAATAAAAAACAGAGAGAGCGATATCCATGAAAGCGGTTACCTTTTATGACTTAGAATATTTGCCTTATGCTCAAAAGCTGTTGAAGGTATTTGCTTCAAAATAAGACTATTTCTGACTATCAATGGGGGACAGTAGTGGATTATCTTCCCTTGATAAAAACCGAGGTTAACCAAAATGTAAGTAGGTCCAAATATTTGAAATCCTTTGCTTTTATCGTAGAGTTTTATATAAGACAGGTTGATATGTCTTAATCAATTATTTACACATGCGTCAACAAATATGTAAACCTTAAGGAAAAAATGTTTAATTTATGTCAACAGATTCTACATCTTATCGCAATATCTAATCTGAATATTACAAATGATCATAATTAGCCCTAATTAATTCAGTTTGCTACAAAGAAATAGGCGATAAAGTCCGAGTAATCCAATAGCTTAGGACCTATCTATTTATAGGGAGTACTCAGGGGAGGTTATTCACTACTGTCCCTCATTGAATCTGATAAGCACGTTTGCAGTTTTGTACCCCCTTTTTGTAACGCTTTTAATTTACTTTCTAGCACCTAATAATTTTTTTTTCTAGAAACAAACTTGTATACTTGTTTTCTTTAAATGCCTCAATATAGAATTTGTTTTTATTTTTGTGATTAATAAAAGATAGCTTATTCCCGATTTTCTAGTTATTTTCAATGTTACATTTTTGTGAAAATAATTAACTCAAATTTCATCAGTAAACAAATCGAATTGGGGTTTTAATTTATTTTTAATTATTTTTTCTCTCCTTTATTGCTTCAATGTTAATGTTTATTTAACATTATGTAAAGCATAATGTGAGTCTGTAACTGTTTATTAATCCATGAGATGACTTAACTTTATCAGCTTGAACAAAATAAATCAACTTTTATTGTAACACGTATAAACTATTGTGTCATGTTTGCATGTTCATTTTTGTTTTGAAATTGATGATTCCAAGTGGATCGTGTGCAAATCAATGGATTATTATTGCTTACGGCATATTCTTTGATTGATATTTCAGGTATCAAATATTTTTGCGGTGTAAGATTGTAGTCAATTATTGACGAAATGTTTTTGTTTACCTTTGTTTGCATGATAATAAGCTGAGTGAGACTAAATTGTGAAGTAAATACTAATCATCTTTTATAATCGAATCTATTAATTTTACATTTTGTGTCATACTTAATACCGAAATCACCAAACGAATTGATTTTACAATTACAGTAATCTGCCTTACAAAATTTGCTAGTAACATAATTATTTAGTTTAAACATATTTTATTCATAATCATACACATTACATAATATATAATCAATCAATATATACAATGATGAAATGGATTAGAACGAAAGATATAAAATCTTATACAGTTCTTCTCCGACTTTTTTTTTTTGAATTAACAACAAAGTGATGGCATCCATCTACTGAGACAATGTGTATGAATTCATATACATATATTAGATATACATATGTTAGAGAAAGAAAAAAACAGTAGTAACATATTTGTTCATGTCTGGGCTGTATTTTCTTTGTTGTCCAAATCACGATCATCAATATTGTTAGATAAAATGTTCCCACAAATACATAATAATTATATCAATTTTTAAGTATATGATACTATATCGATTTAAGTTAGGATGTTTGCTAATATAAATAAGCCATATCTAATTTTCTGAATTAAAAATGTCCACAACGTATTTGCAGATATCTGACTTTACGCAACAATTGCAGCGGCTTGGCTTCCAGGGAAGATAATTAACATGGTCATGGTAAACGTTTCAGCGGAACAACGAGTGATAGCATTTACCCTATGCTTAATTGTGATACAGTTCTACAGAAATACTCGGTATGAGTAAAGGGGTCACTATGGTAGACCTACGTATAAAGAAAAAGTAGAAATGTGTCGACACGACACAAATACCCCTGCATGCAGTCAAAATTTCAAATGTTATAATAATATTTAGGTTCAAATTTGTTTGCATAATTGCAACATTTTTTTCCATTTTAAGCTCAATGCCTTTAAACTTATATTTGTTAAAACAAACCGTTTTTATACAAAGTTCAAGGCCCTGAAAGTATTCAGTGTTATCCTTTTGCAAATTGCATAAATGAACATTAAGTTAATGATTAGAAATTATGATTTTTGTTTTCCAAGTTTCATACATTCCTTCGAATTTAGAGCAGAACCTGAAAATGTGTTTATCTTTACAAAGTTCAAGAAGTATAACTGTTAAAAACCATTTCGCTAACACCAAATTAAAACTTGACTTGCATTTTCTGGTTAAATACTTGTACATGCGATTTCAACCTAATGCATACATTTCAACAAAAGTAAGAGTCGCAAGCTGATTTTTTTTCAAAGTTAAAGAAACATAACTCTGCTTAGTCATCAAACCATGATCAAATCAAAACTTGACCTGCGCATTTTGTTAATTTATCCTTAAGTCAAATTTGAATTGAATGTGTACAACTTTTAACGGGATAATGAAGGGAAACTGAAGAGGCATAACTATGTCAAAGTCATGATCTTTGTCATCATATCATGACCAAATTCGAACTAGACCTGCATTTTCCTATGATATATCCATATGTCTAATTTGAATTTTGCCATTGTTGCCAAGAATGATGAAAAAAGGAAACACTATATGCTCCAGCAATTTTATTGTGGGGGCATAAAAATGTTCTGTCAAATTTATTTATATGCGAAGTTTAAAGCTAGCGTAAATTGGCTGCGAAGAAATGATGTACATATAACATAGCTGTGCGATGCATACCTTCAGAAGGGCTGGATTAAATGCTACCTTGGATGAATGTGCAGATCTGCGCATTTGAAAAAAATGAAATCAAAAAGGAAGCGTCACGACTCGGAAATAGCGTACCAGTACTCGTTTATACATAAGTCATTGGCTAAGAGACATCTAACAAAAAATTGTACCGGGAATCTGATACCACGAATCTTATTCACGTAGACAGTGTTTGGTTTATCATAAGGCCTTTGACAAAAAAAATATGTATATCCCAATTTAAACCACTCACCTCGAGCTTATAAAATAATAATGATAAAAATAATCAAGTTCACGATAAGTAGTGGTTAGTTTGGTTTAATTTGTAAATCCATCATTACTGACGTTTTAATTTAAACGGTTTTCAGCTTTAGGAAAAACAATTTTGTTTGGTTAGATAAGTGCATCAATTCACTATAAAGCCTTCTGCAAAATAGCGTCACTAGAGCTATGGATAATGCATCGATGCCGTTCGTTTCTAAAATATAGAAGATCGGGAAACAGATTGTAAGCTTTATTGATTTGAAATAGAGAGCAGACCGGTAGATTTTAGATATCGAGTAGATTCTTTTCTGTTTATGTATTTTATCGTTGGCAAATTTCATTATCCATCTTAATTCTTTTGTTTTGACGATAAGAAACGATTTAGCTACAAACAACACATTTATCCTTTAAAAAAAGTCGCACAATTTTAATAACACGTTTTTCTTCTTTGAATTATATTATGCACTATCGACGCAGTAGCTGGTGTTATTGACAATGAAAATGTATTTTCAAGATATTAATCAGGTGTTGCAGCAGAACCTGAGATTAGGAAAATTTGAGATCCCGTACGCCCGAGATCGTATTTAAATTTAAGTATAATGCGTACATAGCTCTCGCATAAGCTTCTGTTTGATAAGATCCGTGATCCAGTACGTTCCGGATCACTGGTCCTGATATTTTCCTTATTTATCTAGTGATACTTGAAATAACCTAGTATTTATAAAATTATATATATTTATAATAAAAATAGAACTTGTTTTAATATTAAAGTATATCTCGATGACAAAAAAGCAGACTGTTAAGTCTAGGAGCCAAAATAAAGTTTAAATAATATCTTTCTGAAATGACACCTCTTAAATTTTATGCTTTTGGATAGAAGCTTTAAAAAATAAGTTTGACGGTAGCTTTTGAAGGCGAGTAATTAAAAAGATATATAAACTTTTAACAAGTAAAGTTTCAAAAATAAAGCCATAGATCTAAGCATAAAAATTTAATATGTTTGCATGTTTAGCTCACCGTCGCATTTTTGTTACATTGAATTTTTGTCCAGTATTTATTTAAAAAAATAATATCTTTCTGAAATGATACTTCTTAAATCATTTGCTTTTGGATAGAGGCTTTGAAAAATAAGTTTGACGGTAGCTTTTTAAGGCGAGTAATTAAAAAGATATAATTATAAACTTTTATATAAACTTTTAATAAGCAAAGTTTCAAAAATAAAGCCACAGATCTAAGCATAAAAATTTAATATGTTTGCATGTTTAGCTTACTGCCGCATGTTTTGTTACAATGAATTTTTGTCCAGTATTTATTTAAAAAAAGGGATTTTCTTTCAATGAGATGGGTAAACTATGCGTCTGATGATTTTAATGCCGTGAAACATCGTTTTCGGGTCGACGCACCATCGGATCCGACCCAAAGTGCGTCACGTACTTCGGGACACATTTCCGGAAATTACGACATTGCTTTCTCTTTTAGATAATATGGTGATTACAAAATGTCAACATTTTGTGGTACATCAAACTGATAAATTCTGTAATACCTTACAATAATAAAAAATAACCAAATGATTGTTTAATATATAAAATGTTCTGTGCTGTAAATTAACGTTTACATTTAAGTTCACTCAGGTTGTTCATTTAGGTCGTTAGACTGCCTCCAAATGTAAAAAAAATGCGGCCTGCCCAACAGGGTTTGAACCCAAGTGGTCAGCAATCCTTAGACGGACGCGTCAACCACTCGGCCACGCCGCAACCTCAAGATATAAAATTACAGTTTTATACTCGTTATTAGAGATTCAATATGGCGATAAAACATACCAAATAATGACTGCAAGATTACTCTTTAAAAAAACATGTTTTAATAGGAATGCATTTACATTTTAAAAAGTTTATTATATAGTCGCAATTTTCGTGATACTTAAAGTAGCTTAATTAATTCATTGAACTTTTAATAATTTTAATAAAATACAATTTTATGTTAAAGAAGACTGCTTAATCAGAATTTAATTGGGACTCTGTAAGATAATGTAATAGCACAGTGAAATATCCAAGTATCGGCTCTATCTGAAATATTTCAAGTAAAAGTATCGAAAATAAGTCAGTACTCAATATTTAGGCTGAACTCAGTTGACACCTCCTGAACTTTGGAACATGTGTTGCTAAGTAGCAGGCTATTGCTCTGAGGTTTCATATCTGAATCCACCATATATCTCTATGCATATTGCAACTTGTTAACTGACTAAAACTTTCAAAAGTATAAATTACTTACCTGTATTTAAGAAGCTGACAAAAACGCAGATGATGAACCACTTCAGATCCATGTTGGTTGGAGATAGATATTACATTTCACAACACTTAAAAGAAAAATACCAAAAACATTTATGAGGAAATCGAACGAATTCGCGGAGTGATTTGTTGCCCTGCTAACTGCAAGTAGCACGATCTGAATCAGACTGATTTGAATGGAGACTATGCGTCGCTGCAACAGGCAATTCTTAAATGGCAATGTCTGACATTACTTCGCAGTTAGCAATTATTTACAATTAATGCTTATTGCATATTCAATGTAGGAGATTTTTTAAAATGAGTTTTGTAATTCTATAATATCTTGACATTTAATTTCGCATTATATCAATTACTTTAATTATTTGTCTAATTTGGTGGTAAAGGTTTAAAAAATAGATTACCAGATAAACGCTTTGCATAATTGGAATTCGCATTAAGTGATCATAACCGAATTTAACATACCAGTCAATTATCTTTTCTGCTTTTGTTTTATATAATATATACTCATACTTTTTGTGACGTGGTCAAATATTTCTAGTACTCAGGAGGTAAACAACTAACACTGGGTGTAGCTTCTATGATATATAAATGTCAAATAAAATGGTCAGAGCGTTCCATTTTAGTGTAAATTGAAATAAGTAAACACAGAAAATCAATACTTCAGTAGATTGTAAGTAATATTATCTAAATTAGCAAATAAATGTTAAGTCTTAACTCGTTTAGGAATGACAATATGGAGTTATCAGAACAGGATAACCAAACATTGCCAGAAGTTTAGAATAGCCAATGGACATTTTTTTATCGAAACAGACAAAACAATTCTGAAAACACAATATAGAATGAGTGAAAAGTGTTAGCATATTTGATTTCATACGCATTAGAAGAGAAGCACCTTTTAAACATGCTTAAATTCCATAAATTTTCCCTTAATTCGTCGTTTTTTTTGTTTATGGCGTTGTATGTATTTAACATGTAAGTATTAGTGTCAAAATACAAAGAATCATCTGAAACGCAAAAACAAAGACATTTCTATAACAAGAACTTATTCGACAGCAGCGAAAAAGAAATGTTGCAATCTAGTGGCATAGCTTCGTGATGCTAGGGACAATGTCCCAAGATACCTTATACAAATGGGGAAAGCATTCCAACGTAAATAAGACTTGCTGAAGAATCAGATGATTCTTATTATATATTCCTTACTTTATGGTATTTACTCATTGAATAAAGTTAATGTTGAGTTATCAATGTGGAAAACTGTAATAGATCTAAGACAGATCAAATATTCTTGTACAAAAGTATAGTTGAAAATCCGCAATACCGAAATCAGCAATTTTATTAAGCAAAAAGCTTAATAATATATAATTCAAAAATAACCTAACCTCACAATAATTTTATTAAATTTGCTCAAACCTAGGTCATGGATTTTCTTCAAATCATAGCTAAATAGTGAAAGGAAAACAACTCATTTTGGAATGTCTTCTACATGTATACATGTACATTTGGAACAGTTCTAAAAAGTGATTCAATAGCTGGGAGTTAGTCTTAATGTAACGACCTCTAGCAAGGGAGGTCTTTGCTTTTCAGTGATTATTGAGAAATGATTTTAGGTCAAGGCATGTTTTATTAATCTTTATTTTAGTTTATTACTTAAAAATATTATGTTATTGTCTATATCGCTATATCTAAGATAGAAATATGATTAAATAGTGTATCAAAATGCTACTGTCTTTTGCAATCAATTTAATCAGGCGAGGCTGGCATGGGCCCTATGTCCATATCAGCCGACTGTGATGAAATAAATATCAAAATAGAATAGCGTGGTTTTCTATTTATTATGTAACTCATAGATACAGCCAATGACAAACAAACAAATATTGCTTAAAATGGCAATTTAATAGCAATTTTGTAGAATTAAGTATTTTTGGTGAAAAAATATTTCTTGAAAACAATTTTCTACGCTCTGAAACTGACCCAGTTTGTAAATTGCGGCCATTTTTTCTATCGGCACGAGTATATTTTCTTGTGCATAATCAGTATTCTAAGAAATGATGATTATATAGTGTCTGAGAATAACATTGAAATAAAAATTAGATTACAATGAAATATAATTCCATAAAATAATATCTTGCAATTTGTATTCATCTTACATTGGATTGAATATATAAACTTATCATTTTCTCAATTTATATAATAAAGTCAATGATTGAAAATTGGCATTTTAAATATATTATAATTGGTTGCATCTTCACGTGTTGAAAAAAATAGGAATTCAGTTTTCTAAAGAAGTTACAATTCATTTAATGCTCATACATTTATCCATGTATCTTAATCAAACAAAGACGCTGAAAAGTCAAAGTAAGATACTTTTTTATTAACAAGAATCTATTTTCAATGGTTTTCTATAAATACTATCTGATAGATAAATTTAGTTTTTCAATATGATTTCAATAATTCCGAAAATGAAATTAATTGTGTTTAGAAGAAAACTTCTTTAAACTTTATTTATAAGATTTTCCAAATTGTTTTGTTTGTTCACATTAACATTAACAAAAGATCGAATTTTATAAAGTTTGTTCCGTTAATTTCAATTAAAACATGAGGTCACAATCTAACCTGCATATAACCTGTTCTGGTACATCCATTGAATCAACTTCATCTATCAAGTATCTTGGGATTACTATAGACCAAAATCTGTCATTTTGCGCCATGGCCGAGTCTGTTCTTAAGAAGGCCAACTCTCGGTTAAAATTTCTTTACCGCAAGAAAGAGTTTCTTACTCAGCATACCAAGAAACTTCTGGTTATGTCTCTTATTCAGTGTCACTATGATTACGCATGCTCTGTTTGGTATAATAGCTTGACACAGTCTTTAAAAAATAAGTTACAAACTTGTCAAAACAAAATAATGAGATTTGTACTTGACTTGGGCTCTAGAGCCCACATTGACCCATCCCACTTTAAGTCCCTTAACTGGTTACCGGTCCACAAAAGAGTTGAACAGATAATGTTGTGTCATGTTTTTAAGATAAAAAATGGCCTATCTCCGGATTACATGTCTGAACACTTTATTTCACAAGATTCCATTCATAATTATAGTACAAGACTTAGTCAAAAGGGTGGATATTGTCTACCTAAGGTCAAAGGCCAGGGTTCTAAATCATTTGCTTTCTCTGGTATTAAATTATTGAATGATTTACCTGTAAAGTTAACGGAGATCAACAGGTTACAAAGTTTTAAGGTTGCCATCAAAAGTCATCTTATGAACAGTATTTAATTATTTTTTTTTAAACATGTTTTTACATATTTCGGCTCAGGATTTTAAATTGTCTGCCATTTATCTTATTACAAATTTAGTAATGTGTTTTAAATCCTAGCTGTAAACAGGAGTATCATTAACTCAAGATTTGACTGTGATATACATTTTTATGATTTATTAGTATTCTTAAACATGATTATTTTAAGGTTTGCCTCTCTATGTCATGCCGCCAATACAAAGGACCACAATGGAAATAAGAGCTTTTTTGCCCTTTTTTGTGTTATCCTTGGTTTTGGTGAGCATGTCATAGTTTTACTCGTATGTGATATAGTATTTAATAATGCTCATTATTTTATCCTATGTTATATTGTCAACTATGTATATGCTTCCTTTGCCGAAATAAATCTATCTATCTATACAGATGATTATAGTAATCCAAGTACAGGGAGATTTTCGTGTATGGAGCAGAATTTGGGTATTTATTCATATGACTACTTGTTGTTTTCATTTGCTTAAGTTTAAATCATATTCCTACAAATTTGATTCATCTGTGAGTAAATCTAAGTTCTTTACTTCAATATTTATTTATTCTTCCTTACTATGTTTATATTAAGTTGTAATATTCTAAAACCAATGCCTTCGTTTAATTTAATATAAGATACCAATTTTTAAACATGTGCTATTTTTACTTACTTAAAAGAAAGTGTGTTTTCTCGAACTTGTTTCTTACAAATGTAGTTGTGCAACTCTTATTCCCATTCGATTCACATTGAAAATAAATTTGTATGTAGAGGCTATTAGAATTTTTGTTATAGAGATTAATCGATATTCCAACTACATTAAACAACCTTAAGCGAAATCAAAACTGACTCATTTCATTAAGAAGAACAGCAGAACAAATAAAACTAGAAACCACGTGATTAATATTTGCTTTTTGTGTTCTAGCTGGTACCGGACCTAAAATTCTAGCGCAAAATCTTAGTGATGGGAGATAACTCATGCATCACTTCGGTATTTTCCGTGAGCACAAGGTGTGAGGATACAATGCTACGCGGCGATTTAATCCAAGTTTATAGGTTGCACACCACAGAAATGTAAGCCACAGCTTCAAATGGCCAGGGAGGATTTCTTGAATCTAGTGAATATTCTGGATGAGCATATTGTAAAAAAATATGTCGTTTTCATTGAAAAGCCTCCTGTTACAAGTTCAAACTGCTATGAAACTATGACAAATGCTTCAATACTGATGAAACTTGACACAAATGTTGAATGGACCATAGCCTCTGTAACAGCATGCTCAATCTGAAATTTACTGTTACCATGGCAACGGGGGGACGTCTCAAAATTGCCTAAAATCACTATTTTGCATTGTTTTTTCCATCAAAACTGATTTCATAGTGCTGCAACTTCTCAATAAATTAAGATAGAGTAAAAGGCTTTTCAGCGTCGGTTACTAGTTACCCTAAGATCGACCTGAGGCCATTTTTAGACTGTCACATGTCCAAAATTTTCTTGGTGAAGAGGGGGGACTACCGCCCCCTTCAAACCCCCCAAACAGAAGGGGGCACATCCCACTTCTGGCAACCCCATGATGTACTATTTTGATTGGGGCCGCGCTGAAAAGTGGTCACTTTTTTAACAATATTTCTCAAATGAAAAACAGTGTTGGGGGCCTAAAAAGGGCATTTTTTTCACTGTTTGAGACCTCAAAGGGGAGGGGGCAAAAAGCCGTCTATATAAGGGAAAAGGTTAAATGACTGGTTGTCTTTAAAGTGCTTTTTCAGCATGAAATTTGTTTTTGTGACATCTAATGATTATGATCACTGGCAAATTCGAAAACATTGCTGTCGATTATAGATGTCAAGGTCGCCATTTTTTGTAAACATTGCTTTTAAACAGCATGCATGGTAAAAACAAGTCATTTTACAGGGTGGGTTCA